CTCACTTACTGAAAGATCCATATCGGCTAGAGGTGAATGAAACGTAAGGGTGCGAAAACATCTTCCTAGTAGACGTGTCTTAAAATCTCGAGGATGATGACGATATGTAATGAGCTAAAATGGACCATTGATTGTAGAGAGAAACGAAACATTTCTTAAAAAGGTGTAGAAACCTCTCCCTAGTAGACGTGTTTTAAAACCGTGAGGTCGATATGTAATGAGCTAAAATGTACTATTGGTTGTAGTGAGAAATGAAACATTCCTTAAAAGGGGTGTAGAAACCTCTCTCTAGTAAACATGTCTTAAAATTGTGAGGTCTACAGCGGTATGTAATGAGCTAAAATGTACAATTGGTTGTAGAGAGAAACGGTGTAGAAACCTCTTCTTAGTAGACGTGTCTTAAAACCATGTGGTTGGTTGTAGAGAGAAACGAAGCATTCCTTGATAGGGTGTAGAAACCTCTCTCTAGTAGACGTGTCTTAAAACTGTGAGGCCGACGACAATATGTAACGAGCTAAAACGGACAATCGAATGTAGAGGGAAACGAAACATTTTTTAATTCCGTGACTATATATGTAACAAACTAAAATTAAAACATATAATATTTATAGGGGTGAGAATTAAAATGGGTTAATTTTGTACCTATTTTTTCCCCTAAAAATGAATTTATATTTGAGAAAAAAGGTGGAGGCTATTTTTAGGTTTAGGTATGGATGGAATAGAGATCTAGAATCTTCCACGATAACCTACATTGCTAGAACCTTCCTTCCACTTCTCATCACCGCCTTACATTAAATCATCTCCCATTTCTTCTTACTCCCAAAAACCCTAAACCCTTCTGCAAGCTCCAATCAACAACCCTCTCTCTCTCTCCTCAATTGATTCCTTTTCCAATCGCTTCGCCCATGGCCACCGGTGCGCTGCTCCGTTCTCTTCGACGTCGCGATTTAGCATCCTCCTCCCTTGCAGCTTACCGATCAGTATGTCTTCCTCTTGCTTACGTGGTTATTCAATTGTTTGATTTATGCTGTCGATCCTTGGCTGGAAGTTTTTGAGTGCTGCGAGTTTTTTTCTCTTTCTTTTGGACATCTGGAGCTGATTTTGCTTGTTAATCTGTGCGTCTTTTTTGAATTGTTTGTAATAATATAATTTGGTTGTTCATTTCGGTTTTGGTTATGGTGTGGAATGCGAACTATGATCGGAAACAAGGCTTGGGGCTTCTGTTGTGCCCGTCCTATTGGATCTGTGTATAACGATTTTGTAGTGATTATTTACTATTGTACGGGGATGGAAGTGGCTTCGTGGTTAATATAATACATGAAGAGACGTAGGTGATCATCGCGCTTTTGAGAAGATTAGCACGAGATAGTAGGAAGTTGTTTGATTGGACTGTCATCTCAATGTAGGCTAGCGAAGATGTTTGGATTTAGTTGTGGTAATAACATTAATCATTCGATGATTAGACGTGGTTTTTTCCCTTGTCGAGTTGAGATGGGAAGAGGTATAAATGCGATGCTGCGGTTTCCCTAGTCGCGCTTATTCACATGCCGTGACAACACATCACGGCACCCCCCAATCCCCAGTGCAAATTCTTTTTTGGCTTCAATTTCTGGCCAGTTAAAATTTGTTGACAACTTTACTTGATGGGGTTTTATTTTCTATCCTGGAATTATATATCCGCAATCCAAGTTCTCAGGTTAACAGACTTGTGTTTATGATATTGCAGTTAACAAGCAATGCCAAGCCGTCATGGGGAAACTCTCACCTTAGCCAATCATGGGCTACTTTGTCCAGGCCATTCAGGTTCTATTGTCTCAAAAAAATTAGTTATTTCATTTTCTGTTGGTTTTCCATCATGGCCTGATATATAACTTGTCTGCTCTGTGCAGTTCAAAGCCTGCTGGGAATGATGTAATTGGTATTGACTTGGGTACCACCAATTCTTGTGTTTCTGTCATGGAAGGGAAGGTAAGTCTAGCCTACAATACACACGTGATTGATTGATGGCTTGAGCGTGTCCTTTTTACGCATGCCTGATTCTGGTTATATATCTGTAGAATCCAAAAGTTATTGAAAATTCAGAAGGTGCAAGAACCACACCGTCCGTGGTTGCTTTCAATCAGAAGGGCGAGCTACTTGTAGGAACACCAGCAAAGAGACAGGCAGTGACAAATCCAACGAACACTGTGTTTGGAACCAAACGTCTGATTGGTAGACGCTTTGATGATCCTCAGACACAGAAGGAAATGAAGATGGTGCCATATAAAATAGTCAGAGCTCCAAATGGAGATGCTTGGGTTGAAGCAAACGGACAGCAGTACTCACCGAGTCAGATTGGTGCTTTTGTTCTAACAAAGATGAAGGAAACTGCTGAGGCCTACCTTGGTAAGAGCGTGTCTAAGGCTGTGATCACTGTTCCAGCTTATTTCAACGATGCACAGAGACAGGCAACAAAGGATGCTGGCAGGATTGCTGGTTTGGATGTTCTTAGAATTATCAACGAGCCCACTGCTGCTGCACTTTCTTATGGAATGAACAATAAGGAGGGTCTAATTGCTGTTTTTGATCTTGGTGGTGGCACATTCGATGTTTCCATCTTGGAGATATCCAATGGTGTTTTTGAGGTTTAGATTTTCTCTATTTCATTCTTTTATTAATATGAGTTTCACGTTCTTATTTTTTTTTTCTTAACATTTGAGCTTTGCTAACTTTTGTTATCTTTTTAGGTGAAATCAACAAATGGTGACACATTCTTAGGTGGAGAGGATTTTGACAATGCTCTTTTGGACTTCCTAGTGAGCGAGTTCAAACGAACTGAGGGAATTGACCTTACCAAGGACAAGCTTGCCTTGCAGAGGCTTAGAGAAGCTGCAGAAAAGGCAAAGATTGAACTATCATCTACATCACAGACTGAGATTAACCTGCCATTTATCACTGCTGATGCATCTGGTGCAAAGCATTTGAACATCACTTTGACCAGGTCGAAGTTTGAAAGCCTTGTTAATCACTTGATTGAAAGGACCAAGGCCCCATGTAAAAATTGTTTAAAGGATGCCAGTATTTCTATCAAAGATGTCGATGAAGTTCTTTTAGTTGGTGGAATGACTCGTGTACCAAAGGTGCAAGAGGTTGTCACAGAAATTTTTGGAAAGAGCCCCAGCAAAGGAGTGAACCCTGATGAAGCAGTTGCTATGGGAGCTGCAATTCAGGGTGGCATTCTTCGTGGTGATGTCAAAGAATTGCTTCTATTGGATGTTACCCCTCTATCGCTCGGTATTGAGACACTTGGGGGGATCTTTACACGGTTGATCAGTCGGAACACTACCATTCCAACTAAGAAGAGCCAGGTAAATCTTTGAAACCTATCACTATATTTAGTGTGTGCATGTTGGTGTGACAAGTTATTCCTTTCCTCATCCCCACCTTTTTGTAAGTGTGAGCATGTTCTAGAAACGAATACCTTCCACATTGACCGATAACTGTAGTAGGTAGGGGTCAATTGCTGGATCAAGTAGGGATTTAAAGTTATAGATATTTGTCTAATGGATCAATTAATTTAATCAACAACAGTAGGTTGAGGCTGATAATTTTTTCGTTTGTAATTATTTGAATTCCCATCATTGCAGGTGTTCTCAACCGCAGCTGACAATCAGACCCAGGTGGGTATCAAGGTATTGCAAGGTGAGAGAGAAATGGCCTCTGACAACAAGCTTCTAGGCGAGTTCGAGTTAGTTGGAATTCCTCCTGCCCCAAGAGGACTGCCTCAGATTGAAGTGACATTCGACATCGATGCCAATGGTATTGTTACCGTCTCTGCAAAGGACAAGTCCACCGGTAAAGAGCAACAAATCACCATTCGATCTTCTGGAGGACTCTCAGAAGATGAAATTGAGAAAATGGTGAAAGAAGCGGAGTTGCATGCCCAGAAGGATCAAGAGAGAAAGGCTCTTATTGACATCAGAAACAGTGCAGATACTACCATATACAGCATCGAGAAGAGCTTGGGTGAATATAGGGAGAAAATACCAAGTGAGGTTGCCAAAGAAATCGAGGATGCGGTGGCAGAGTTGAGGAAGGCAATGTCAGAAGACAACATTGAAGAGATTAAGTCGAAACTTGATGCCGCCAACAAGGCTGTTTCCAAGATTGGGCAACACATGGCTGGTGGTTCCGGTGGTGGCTCCGCTTCTGGAGGATCTCAGGGTGGCGAACAAGCCCCCGAAGCCGAGTACGAAGAGGTGAAGAAATAAGCCAAGGCACAACTTATTTTCACAACCAAAGGTGCTCTCCATCTTTAATCTGTGGTAGGAGTAAGAAATGTAGCGGATTTTGTATCTAATCGCGGGGGTTGGAGAATATAGTATATGATTGCGTTTGTTGAATTGTTTGTTAAAGAGAAAGGCTGTTCTGGATGTGATTGAACCCTCCCCGTAAAAAGGAATTGGGTTATTAGGTTATTTTGGTAATACACGTTTTCGATCTCTTTTACTGCCAGTACCATTGTTCTCGAGAGTAGGGACTGCTCTGTCGGCTTATTTCCATGTCATAATTACTACTCTTCCAGCGATAAATTGACCCAGACAGCAGGAATCACAAGTCCAGATTTGCTTTACTTTGTGTACCGTTTCAAAAGTGATACTTTCTAGCACGTGCATGGCGCGTGATTTACCATCGGCACCAAAGAAGATCAGGGAGGGGGCGGCGGCGTTGTTGTTGTTGTTGTTGTAACCACAAAACAAACTGACAACAACCAAACAATTAATGAAGCCCTCAAGTAGTTTGGTGGTGGTAAGTTTTTGGGCGTATTGTTTCCAAGGAATTTCACGTTGGTCCACATGGGGGGCCATGCCTTTTAGTTTTTATAATCTCCATTGACAGTCATAGAAGAAGCTTCAAAGCTATTAATTTAATAGAAGGAAGACGAAATGTTGATGGATCCAGGCTTTATTTCCTCTCCCTGGATTCAAGGGTTTGAAAAGTATTAGAAAGAAAAAGCTGGGTTATCTAGGAATATCATATTAGAATCCAAGTTTCACGCCCCACAAAAGCTTTGCACTTTGATTCACATTGAAACGTATGTGTATATAAGTGTTAATAATGTGTACACGAAAAAAGAGTACAAAAAACTCAAAAGACTCTAAACCTGATCTACACTGCTCCCTCCTCATTTTCAAGTCTCTACGACATCCCCCTCCTCTTCCCCTTTCTCCCTTCTTCTTCTTCAGGGCCATAGCGAGGTTGAATCCGACCTCTATCTGGAGATTTTACAGCCCTGTTGTTGTATCAAAGGTTGATTGATTCACAATTGTGTAGCAGCTGAAGAGATTGCAACTTGTAAATAATGAACAGATTTAGTACCTCATTCAGACAAATCTCTGCCCAATACGTTCAGCGCGAGAGGGATTTGTTGTAGCTCTCCGTTTTGGGTGTCTGTCTTTCAGACCCCTCCTTGTTGCCATTCATCAAGTCTTCACCGCTTCATTGTGCATTGTCGTCAGAATCGCTTCCGGATGAACTGCCGTCGGAATCAGAATCTGCAAGGATGGTACCCCGTTAACCTCTACTTTTGTGGAAACAAATCCCAAATCTCAAAACATCCACCACTTTTAGAGATGGGTTATACCACTGGAAGAGGATGAATCATCACTACTTGAACTACTTGAGCCGCTGGAGCTACTGCTAGCATGCCCTCCCCCAGCGTCCTTCTCGATCACCACTGGTGGAAAATCACTTGCAGGCATCTCATCGCCAATGTCCACGTCTTCCTCACCAGCCTCCCCTTTCCGTTGCTTCTTTGCTTCGGAACCCACTTCGAATTTCTCAGGGATCGCCAACACCTGCCGTAATTCATCATATAAAAACATTAGGAACAACAGCTGAATTAAGAGAGCTCATCAGTGAAAGGCCAATGCGAATTAAGTGATTTACCCCATTGTGATTCATAGATGCCGCATTGATAAGAGCCTGTCGTTTGATCTTGCTCATCATCTTCTTCCAGTTAGTCACCAGTCGATCGAGCTCCCAAAGTGTTTCGGTATCGACAGCTTCGATGTCAAGCTCAATCTCATCCCCATCTTGCTTCAAATGACCATTTCTCTTCTTTATGATTTGTACAACTTGTTCCATTTTCTCCGGCGGCAAACTCTGCAACCCAATTCCCAACTTGTGCTTCTCTTCTAAAGTCATTTCTCTCTTATTGGGATCTTTAGCTCTTGGCTTCGGCTGCTTCACAGGCTTTACAGGGGGCGCTCGTAGAGGTGAGGGAGTTTTAACAGGCGATTGTATCATTGGCGGATTAGAAGAGCTTGACGGAGCTTTGATCGGCTCCGTCTTCTTCACAGTCTGCATCGGGGTATCCTTCTTCACTGTTCTTTCAGCCTCCGAATGATTCCAAGAACTCGCTGGCAAGTCTTCCTGATAGTCACGGTACCGCCGATCTTCTTCCAATGCTTCATTTACTGGTCGAAACAATTCCTCAAATCTCATCAGTAATTGCTCCCCCATGGCGTGAACATCGTGGCCCTTGGGATTGTAAGTCATTGCGTTCTTGAAAGTCAACCTCACGTCGGATGCAAAATCGAACGGTGATTCATACGCATCTTTGCCCAACTTGGCTTTCACGGATCCCAAATCCATTGGACGCTTGACGATGTCATAGTAATCGTGAAGACCCATCCCAACCACATCGACTGGCTTGTTGAAGATCCAGCCATGTTTGTGCTTCATAAGTTTCATCAAAATCTGCGAACACATCTTCATCATATTACCGTTTTCTGAATTAGACCGCTTGAACTCCTTACCGTTGCTCGACATCGGCAAAGGCCGCTTGGTTCCCGAGGCTTTTGACGATTTCTTCAGGTGTTTTGGTCTGAAATTTAGTTCTCCTGAATTGATGCGACTTTTCAATTGCCGAATCTGTTCTAGCTCGGAGATTAACCTGGTCTTCAGCTCGACCAGCTCTTTCCTCGAACACGATGAAACGTCGAAGCTCACGTATTGACTAAAATCCACACCGTTGGACAATCTGCGATGATGATTGATCGACGAAGCATCATCCGACGCCGACTGAGCCTCAGCCAGTGAGTCGTCCATCTGAAAACCGTTCACCTCGCCGTGAAACTGTTTCTTGTTAAATTTAGGGTTAGGGTTTGAAAAAGGTACTTTCCCCATGAATCCTTCTTCCGTACCGCGACCGTTACCCCTCAGCTGCGGCCAATTGGATTCGTTTCGGTTAGCTAAGACGACGGAAGCCATCCTGTACGGAACCCCAAGTTTCTAGTAGGACTCCGACAGGAACCCGTCGAGTATTCCCCAATGTGGTTGAAGGATTAAACATGAATCTCCCTGAACGCCCTTACAACGCGCCGAAAATTCCCTCACGCGCCGCCGCAGAAAAAGCACTTCAAAGGCATACACAGAAAATTGAGGAAAAACAAAACGAAAGAAGAATCGTGCAGCGCGAGGGTTCGAGGATTTTGGTTGATCCTGACTTCTGAGCGAGGAAGAAGAGGGGCTAGGGTCTGTTCTTAAAGGCGCGGAGATCTGCCCCGAAAAACTTCGGGCAGAATCGAGACCGTCGATGTACTTCTCCATGCAAATCCAACGGTCTACACTATCTCTCCCGTGCCGATAAATTGACCAAATGACCTGGCATTGACGGCCAGGATTGAAACCCAGATACACGTGGACGCTTAGGGATCGTCGGACCGGGCCGAGATTTGGGAATATGCGTTTGGGGGTGAATTTGGGCCGAATTTGTCGTGCATTTAGGGTTTTGTATAAATCACTCAGTTTTTTTTTTTTTTTTTTTAATTAAGTTCGTGGGCCCCACAGCTTGCTGATGTCGACCGAAAGGCGATTGGCTGATTTTCTTCAGTGTGTGTGAGAGGTGGGCCCAGCTGTGGGGTCGGCGAAAACGTGTGAGCGAACCCCTCTTTTCCCCCTTTCCCTTTAACAACACCTTGGTCAATTAAGGGCACTTTGGTAAATTCACTCTCTTACTAATTCTTTTTTCTAAAAAAAGAAAAAAAAAAAAAAAAAAAA